CCGGAAACCCGAAGGAGAGGAGAACAAGAAGCCACGCACCGTGAATTTGCGGCCTCCGTTCGATTAGCATTCGCTGGGAAATGAGCGATAGATCGAAGCCACGCTACGTCGCGAGAGAAGGGAAGCTCTGTGCGCCTCTCCGCCTCTGCTCCGCGCAATACGCGGGGAACGGAGAAAGTGAGAACGAGGGAGAGGGAGGAGGGTGAAGAGAGAGGAGGGAGGGGGAGGTAGTGTACGCAAGCGCGTACGTATCGCGGGCGCGTACACACGGGCGCGTAATCCACAGCGTGACTATTAGTCGTAAGTCAATAATAAAGCCCTTGTCCTGGACCGACCATAATGGCCCCGGTGAATTATTCCGTGCAGGATGCATTGTCCACCCGAGCTCGTTCGCGGGGATGGAATTGTCGTTGGCCAGCGGCGATATACGCGGCGATGTACACACGCGTATAAGATCTCGAAGCGCGTCTGGCGCGGCTCGCATTCACCTACGGACCGTGGGGTAATTGAGATGGATGTTCAATTAATTTGGCCCACGTTTCATTTGCACACCGGACGGGATCCGAGTGACCGAGGGCACTTGGCGTCCTTTTCCACCGTCGTCGCCGAGACACCTGAGATCGACAGCCTTTCTTTCTTCCCTCTGTCCAGGAGGGAGACCACCATTACGAGTATCTGGAGTCGAGAACGAGAATTGTCTCGCACGGAAGATTGTTCTCGTCGCGGAGATTCGCGCGGGCTTTGTGTCGCGAAAATCGCCATTACCTTAACGTTAATTGACCCGTATCGAAAAAAAAGGAATTTCGAAGGAAGAGGGGAAAGACGCGATGGAATTTTACATCCCTTCCTTTCTTTTTTTCGATCCTCTCCGGAACTCACTATTGCGAGATTCGACGTAGTTTCGTAACGAAAATTCGGAAGCGGCAAGTATTATCCTTGGCAAATTGCCGCCACCGTAAACGACACCATCCAAGCGCGTTCGCGTAACGACGTTCACGGCTTAGAGGGGCAAGGAGGGAAGAGGAAGCTTCTAACAAATTGGAACTTCAAAGACATTTTCCTCGGAAACCGGCTCCTTTCTCCTCCTCTCCGAGTTTTTCCCTCCTCCACGCGGAAATAAACTTAGAGAGTGAAACTACCCCCTGACAATCCACGTACGCGTCTATTCTTACGTAATGGCGGCAACTCGCTACGATGAATGGCCCTGACAGCCACCGATATTACGAATTTATCGACGACTCGATCCGAAGGAAACGCGCTTTCCCTTACGCTTTTTCTTCTCTCCTCTCGACGAGACATATCCGCCAACCTTTCTCCACCATTTTTCTTCCACCGTTTCTTTCCTCGCGCCTCTTCTTCGTCGGAAACGATTTCGACACGCGAAGAAACGAAAGTTATCCCTTTCGAATAATTATTTGGCGAGATACCAAGTTTTGAACGTGCTCCACGCCGGGATGCCGACGCCGTTAAACGATCGATCGGCTTCCATCCACGATGGTAATTTACGACTGACCCATAATCAAACTGGCGCGGTCTGTTTGCGCGTCATATTGGGACGCGTCTCCGCATAGCGGTCGGCTGTCCGCGGTCCGCGTATTTGCGGACTCGGATCGGCAAAGGTATCCGCCGCTCCAAGATTATCGGTCCACGGCAATTACATTTCCCGCGCGTGCAATTTCACTCAGGAGATCTTCATTTTTGAAGACGATCGAAATGCGGATAGAAAAAGAATTCACGCCAAGATTCAGAACGATTCAAGTCGATATTGTAAGCGATTCTGTGGCGGTTGAGTAAGGAGCACGCGCTTCTCTCTGCTTATGGAATTTCCGATCGAGATTTTTTTATTACGTGGACGAATTCTCGTCTAGATTTCTCTTTGCGAAAGCAATGTAAGGGAGGATATTTATTACACGTGACGAACTTTAAAAAAAAAAAAATAGTATTTATCCCGATCATTCCATTCTCCGTTAAATTAATAGAAAATCAAAAGTCAAATTGGCTCGCGATTTACGCTGAGTGGCTGCGAGAATCGAAAAAATCGGAGAGACTGGTTAAAGACGAACCATTTTCGGGACCGACGCCGCCTTTAAAATATTCACGGGGGTGGGAGGGGGGTCTGCGTTTGACGGGTGGTC